AATGGGGGTGGGATGGATAATGCGACTTGCGAAGCACCAAGGGTGGGGCGGGAGCGTGATTTTGAGAAGGGCGCAGATCTGTTTCGAAAGGTGAGGAGGACATTTTGTGAGGCCACACCCAGCTCAGGCCCACGATGGTTGGGCCTGAGGTGCGAAAATTTTAGGAAATAATAGCTCTAGATGAATGGAAATGGCACTTTTATATAAGTAAAATTCATGTCATCACATCGCACATTTATAGTCAAAAGGAAGCGCCAACAAATTTCTTATGATGATAGATAACCGGATATCACACTTTTATATAGTAAAATTCATCGTTATCACATCACCATTTATAGTCAAAAGGAAGCGCCAACAAATTTCTTATGATGTGTTACCAACGATTTGCGGCAACCATAGATCTAATTAATAATTATGTGTGATTTACTATGGAAAATAAATATTAAAAACGTGGTTTTTGATGTATTAAGTTTAGGAATACTTACTTATTAACCATAATCGATCACATTAATTGCTGTGATGTTCCATTGAAAATAAAACTCAATTGTCTTTGATGTATCTTTAATTTACTTTGCCATTACCATTTGCCGAAAACCAATCTTATTATTATTATTATTATTATTATTATTATTATTATAGTACGAAAAATGAGGGGACCGCCCCCTCCTCCCAAAACCACATTGTTAAAAAAAAAATTGGGACTTCTAGATGGCCGGAAATGGCTGGGATGGGAAAACTAGGCCTATTTTTTTTTTTTTTTTTTTTGGTCCGACTGCCCGACGAGTTGTTTTGGCGATAGGGGGTGGGGGCCTATATTGGGCCTATAGCTATTAAAGTAGGCCTAGGCGGCCTAGATTGCTGTAGCCTGTATGTAGTATTAATTTTTATCTCCTATTTTTCTAAATATACACAACAGTTTATTATATTTATCATTATATTTTTCTGCAGATAGAGTCAGCAGTCAGCGCATTGATTGTGTTCAGAAAATTGTACAGTATTTTGTTCCTGAGATTGCAATAATCAGTAATGTCAGACAGAAAATCGTAAACCATTTTAGTTTTCCTAAAGACCCAATAGAGAAAAAGAATGGATAAAGCCAATTCCGATTAATGTTACAGTACTATAGTAGGCTACTTTTTTTTAAATAAAATTATTCCTGTTCCTAAAGGAGTGAATTTGTTGATTTCTTTTTAGTGTTAAAATTTATAATAAAATTAAGCCAACCCAGTCTGGCACATGGAGGAAATATATTTCCTCCATTATTAGAGCAAAGTTATATTAAACTATGGAATTTGTAAATTATTCTAAATACTGAATTAGTGTCTGTTTGTATTGTATGCCTTCTGCAATTGCACGATAGAACGAGTTGATAATGCTTAATATGGTGAGTGGCAATGAGCATATTAACATTACCATTATTTATTTGATTGTGTGATGTATGATATGCTTGCATGCACTAAGATTAAAAGGATTGCAGACAATTCATGAACTTGTTTGTAAATAAAATATATTTATTTTTACACTTTCAAAATACACTACAGTATAGGCAAAGGTTACTTTCACAAACATTATACATACACTACCTGTATTAACATCTACAGTTCAGCAGTTGCAAGATGCAGTGAGTTAATTGCTTGATAGTTGCATGTGGCGATTAACATTTAGGCTATATAAACATCAATAAGTCCTAAAATAAAAATAAGCACATTACCCCTGTACCATGGAGGAAGAAAATATTTTCTTCCTCCATGGTTTAACTCGTGCCGGGTGACTGAAGATGACCCTAACTTCACTGTCAGTGTTTCTGAATTCATGAAACTTAACTCAATCCGTCGAAGGCTGCTGGTCCAGGCTGCTGGTCCCGCCACGAGTACTTAAGGTCTCCTCTCCTCATCTTGATGGTATTTTTACTTATAATTTTAATCGTCGTCTTTCGAATCAAACATTCCCAGATCTTTGGAAACTTTCATGCACATAACCTGTACCCGAAAAAAAAAATTACTTGCATGAATGATCTGAGGCCCGTTGCACTTACATCTGTTGTAATAAAATGCTTGGAACGTATTCTTTTAAAAATTATAGAACCCTATGCAGAAAAGGTTTTAGATCCTCTACAATTCGCTTATCGATCATCAAGTAGTACCAGTGATGCTATACTCTATAAATTTATTAATGTATATTCACATCTTGATAATGGAAATAAAGGTCATTCAGCACGCATTATGTACTTTTACTTCCAGTCGGCATTTAATACTATATAGCCCCATATTCGTGCTGGAAAAAATTATGGAACACTATGCGGAAAAGTCTTCAGATTCTCTACAATTATACACTTAGAACCAGTGATGCTATACTCTATAAATTACATAATTTATATTCATATCTTAACAATTTGTGAAAATAGATGATCTTAAATCGGAAATATTCTGATACGGGTGTATCAGTTCTATTTGTACACTGCTGAGTACAGGTCATCTAATTAGCGCTGCCAAGTTGTAAAATTCGCAGACGATACAAGCACAATCGCAATCGGCCTTATTGTTTCAGATAACGACACACATTATCGTGACGAAATAAGAAGGTTTGTTGAATTTTGCGACAATTATTACCTACAAATTAATGCTACAAAACAAAAGAGATGATAATCGACTTTAGGACCAAACATAAATTTGAATTTCAACCAATAATTATCAAAGGAAAAGAAATTGAAATCGTTGATAATTATAAGTATTTTGTCATTGTTATAAATAATAAACTGGGCTGGAGTGACCATATTGATTTTATGTGTAACCAGGGTAATTTCACTGTTCCCTGGTGTAACAAATTCAATCCTATCATGTACTGCTTGAGAACTTTATTTAAATTTAATTCCAGTGAACCATGTTGCTTTCTTTGTATAGAGCTGTAATAGTGTTTGGACGTATTGCCTTGCTTGCTGGGCTGCTAATGTTGCCACAGTGGATAAAGTACACCTTTCATCCGTCGGGCTGGTACAATGATTGGTTTAGATTTGCCCTCCATTAGTGAGGTGTATTTAGAACATCTTCATAAAAACTTTGATTGGATTGAGTCAGACGCTTCTCGTCCTCTCCATTAGGTTATTATAAGCCAACTTAATCCAAGTGGTAGAATGAGGCTACTCAGCACAAAAACAAATCGCTATGCCAAGTCCTTTATCCATTCCGGCATCAACCAGTTCAACAAGAAGGCAAGAAGATAATAATTTATTTCAATGTTTTATTGTATTTAATTTATCTAATGTAGAGAGCTGTTGTAATTGTAGTGATAATGATGATGATGATAATAATAATAATAATTGTTATTATTATTATTATTTTTATTATT